GCCACTTAAACACTGTTGCATTAGGCGCTGAAATGTTGCTGGTGCATTACAGAGGCCAAAAGGCATGCGCTCAAACTCAAATAGTCCAAGTGGGGTTGTAAAGGCAGTTTTCTCTCGGTCTTGGGGGTCCATCTCAACCTGCCAATAGCCACTAGCCAGGTCAAGGGTAGAAAACCACTCAGCTCGGGTCAGGTTTGTTAGAGTCTCTTCGATTCTTGGAAGGGGAAAGGCATCTTTATGGGTTACGGCATTGAGTTTCCTATAGTCGACACAGAACCTCCAGTTACCGTCCTTCTTCTTCACCAGAACTATGGGCGCAGCCCATGGGCTACAACTTTCTCTGATTACCCCCTTCTCAAGCATTTCTACAAGTAGGCTCTTCATTTCCTTATACATCAGAGGCGGAAGAGGTCGGTACCTTTCTCTGATGGGCGCTGCATCACCCGTATGGATACGGTGTTGTACCAGGTCTGTCCGACCAAAGTCTTCATCATGGTTAGCAAACTTCCTGCGCCACTTGAGCAGCAGGGTGCATAGCTCCTCCTGTTGCTGTTTAGAGAGATCAGGTCGGTTAGTCAGGTTCTTTACCTCTTCAGGCAGCTCCTGTCCCTTGTGGTTGCCTGTTGCATCTACCAAAGCCACTTCAACAACGCAATTGTCTTTCAGAGATAGGGTAAGGTCACAAGATCCACGCACATCAGCTTCATCAACGTGGTACAGCTTACCCAATTTCTGGTTCCGCCCTATTGACAAGGTGTAGGGATATGGGTTGCAGACACGAACAGGGATTCTCCCGTTTCTTACCACTGCTAGTGTCCTAGCTACGCCAACATTGTTGGTTTCAGGTAGTGCTTCCATCAGGGCACAGTAGTCTGTTCCTCCCGGGCCCATCCGAGCACGGCCCCACACCAGCAGCTCACTCTTTGGTGGGACTCGGATATTTTGGCGAGTAGCTGGCCGCACGTTTCCCAAGAATCCGTCTTCTGTCATGGTGGCCTCGATACGTCGACAGGTAGCAAAAGCATCCCGCCAAACTCTCTGGTTCTTCAGCTGCTGTGGAGTGGAAACTGGCCTTCCAGGTCGTTGAAAGAGTGTTTCCCAGCAGGCGGTCACAACATTCATACCTATGAGGAGCGGGTGGGTGCAGTGTTTATCTTTAATAATCACAACTCCTCGTCCAGGTATTTTGATGCCTCCCACTTCCAGATCAAACACTGCGTAGCTAGTGTATGGGATCTCCAGGCCGTTGGCTGCCCTTAACTGGAAAACTACAGGGGTCTTCCCAAGCTTAGCTTTGGAAAAATGCTGCTCAAATAAACTCTGCTGCATTAATGTAACCTGAGACCCCGTATCCAACAGTCCTTGCAACTCAACCCCTTCAATCATTACTCCTATAGTTGGGCATTGCCCAATAAAGGCTTCCGTGGCCCTTGAGTCGTGTAGTGCATCAGCAACCCCTGCCCCTTGGACCTCAGCAGCAGGGACAGCTAGTTTAAAGCCGCCTGGGAAGCAGGCCTCCTACAATACCTGGCTATATGTCCCGCTTGTCTACATTGGCGACAGATTGGCCTACCTTGTTCATCCCAGTCGTTAACACCGGACGCCGGTCGCGACCGCTCCCTATGTTGTGTCAGGGGCTGTGGGGGAGCATTGACTGGTTGAAGTAGTGGTTTAATTTCCTTTATTAATTCTTGGGTGAGTCCTTGCATCTGGGATTTCACATCTTCCATGATCTCTCGCTTCAGCGTGTCTCTCCAACTTTCCTTCTGTAACAAAGCAGGGGAGGCATGAGAGTCGTTCACAGAAAAGCATGTTACCTCCGGCTGTGTGTATCCGTGTTCTGAGTCCAGCAGTAGTGCTTCTTGTCGAAGTGCAGCAAAGTCTTCGGCTGGGTTACGGCGCGCATACACCTTCAGCGCCTGAGCCATTGGGCCTTCGTTTAGCCCAAGCAACAACTGGTCTCGTAGCACCGTGTCAGAGGGGGCGTTGCTTGGATCATGCCGCCGCAACATGCAAAACAGCTCTCTCAACCGTAATATGAACGAGGGTACAGACTCTCCAGGTTTCTGTTTACAACCGAAGAACTTTGATCTTAAAACCGGGGTTGGGGTTCTATCGCCATAGAGAGTGTCTAGGTAGAGAAAAATCTTCCTACCCTGGTCTCGCTCACTGTCTTCAAGGACGCTGACCTGGCGTTTAGCCTCACCTGCTAAGGCTCCCAACACAATAGCTGCCTTCCCAGCTTCTGTTAATTCTTGGGAACTTAACAGTCCTTGAATCTGTTCCTTCCAATCACTGTATTTTACATCTTCACCGGGCCCTTTAAATTTAGGCAGCCACGGGGCACCAGGAAACACAGGCATCATCATCTTCAAAGCCTTTTTTTGTCTTAAATCACCGCAGCTGTTCTCCAATCCGGTCCTGCCAGCGACGCCAGAAAAGTTCCCTTGTCAGCCTTGTGAGGCGGGGGAATTAAAATTTAATAAAAAATAAGACTACATTTATAAAAAAGGTACCAGCAACGCCACCTAGTTGCGGAGTCTAGGTCTCCATAAAACAGGTTCTTGTTCACCAGAGGAAGAACAGCATGGATCACAAGACTTAAAAGCGTGGTTTAAAAGGAGGATTTTATTATTAACTAAAAACCCATAAATAACTACAATATTAAAAGTCCATTTGGAACAAGGTACTAAAAGGATTTAAGAATTCGACCAGCCACTGCTGCTGGTCGGTCTTGCCCTTTCTTCTTGTTTCCGGTTCCGTTCCTTTCCTGGGTGAGGTGTCCAGTCCGTTTCGTTTCGTTCCTCTCCCCGTTGCACCCTGCCTGCTCGTCCGTTGTCTGGCCGCCCTCTCGCTCGATTTCCCGTGGCTTCTCCTGCCCGTGGCTTCACCTTTCTGGGGCCTTTATAGCAGCTGTGTTAATTGGAGAGGGGAGGTCCTTTCATTGTGTAATGTGGTTGGCCAGGGCTCTCTGTAATTGATTAGTCCCTCCAGGTGCATGTAATTTACAGAAAGGTGGGTTAATATGTAAAAAATGTAATAAAACAAACCATGCAAAAATGTAATAAAACAACCCACGCTAAAATGTAAAAACAAGCCACGCTAAAATGCAAAACCAAGCCATGCAAAAATGTAATAAAACAAACCACGCTAAAATGTAATAAAACAAGCCATGCTAAAATGTAAAAACAATAATTTACAGAAACCACAATGTCCCCCTGGTGACACATTGACTTTAATGGAAAACCTTTTGACTCCACCGCTGTGCCGGAGCCGTTACGCAGCCGTTCCGGAGTTGGTGGAAATTCAGGGTTAGTCTCGTCTAGGTTCGTTAACGAAAATTTTCGTCATAGTTTTCGTCGACGAAATTTACACTGCTGTGCAGCAGGTGTCAGCAGGGCTACGGCAGGTGTCAGGACCAGGGTCCAGAAGGAACTACAATCTACGGAGACCTGCTAGGGGAGAAAGCACAAAAAAACTCTCTGAAAGACGCTGAATTAGTTATGTGCATAAATAAAACATGGATTATTGTAGAAAGAGAGCGTAAGAGAGGCGCTCGGTGTGTCCTAAGATGTCTTTGATTTCTTCCATTAACTGGGTGAGTGTTCCGTTCCCCGTGCACTGCAGGAGTGTTGTTTATTGTTTGATTACACTTTGATTGGTTTCCTGTGAATTGCCCCTCCTCTAGGTCGCTGTGACTGGCGGATCGGTCGTCAGTGGGGCGGAGGACGAGGGCCAATCAGGAGACGGAGCCGCTGCTTAAGAGGGACGGCGGGCTCATTCTCTGAAACCCCTCTCAGTATTGCTGACGCTCAGGGCCGCCGATTGTGGGCTGCGGTCTCCGCGGAGAAAGCACGGGAGAGGAAAACTGCTTACTTTATGGAGAATGGTTTACTAATGCGTAAGTGGTGCTCGGATGTGGCTGATGGGGCTGAATGGACCAGTGTGTATCAGATAGTGATTCCGTCCTGTTACAGACAGCAAGTTCTCTCTTTGGCTCATGACCACGACCTATCGGGACACTTGGGAATTAAGAAAACTTACTACAGAGTTTTAAGACACTTCTTTTGGCCTCGGTTAAAGACTGATGTTACCCGATTTTGTCGTACCTGCCGCGTCTGCCAAATCACTGGCAAACCGAACCAGGTCATCCCGTGTGCCCCACTCGTTCCTATTCCAGCGGTAGGAGAACCGTTCGAACACGTCATTGTGGACTGCGTGGGGCCTTTGCCTAAATCTAAGGCTGGTAATCAGTTTCTGTTGACTATAATGTGTACTGCAACCAGATTTCCTGAGGCAATTCCTTTGAGAAAGATAACAGCACCTGTTGTAACTAGAGCACTGGTGAAATTCTTCTCTACGTTTGGATTACCAAAAGTTGTGCAATCAGATCAAGGCACTAATTTTCTTTCGAAAATTTTTACTCAAGTGTTGTCCAGCTTAAATATATCCCATAGGATCGCGAGCGCCTATCACGCGGAAAGCCAAGGGGCGCTAGAACGTTTTCATCAAACCTTGAAGTCAATGCTCAGAAAGTACTGCATGGAAACCAGTAAGGAGTGGGATGAGGGTGTGCCCTTGCTCCTCTTCGCGATCAGGGAGACAGTTCAAGAAAGTCTTGGATTTAGTCCTGCTGAGTTGGTGTTTGGACACACTGTCAGAGGACCTTTGAAAATGCTTAAAGAGGACTTGATGTCTTCTGGGGCTAGTCCATCACTGAATGTGTTGGACTATGTGAGCAAGTTCCGTGAACGGTTACATAAAGCTTGCTCGGTGGCGAAGGAGTCACTTGAAGTTGCGCAAAGGAAAATGAAACGTCTTTTTGACCGCAAATCTGTACAGCGTTCCTTTAACGAGGGCGATCAGGTGTTGGTGTTGCTGCCTATGGTAGGGTCGGCGTTATCAGCCCGGTTTTCTGGTCCGTACGAGGTGGTACGGAAACTTAGCAATACAGATTACGTAATCGGGACACCCGATAGAAAACGAAAGACTCGTGTCTGTCATGTGAATATGTTGAAGACTTTTTATTGCAGAGAGGGTATCCAGTCCGATGTTTCGCCGACAGAGGAAACCGCTGTTCACCTGTCCTCCCCGGCTCCTGCCTCCGTGGCATGCGCTGCGGTGGAAATCTCTAACCCGGATGATGATGGAGTAATTGTTCGCCACACTTACCAGCAATGTGCTCGCCTCAAGAACTCTGAGGTACTGTCTGATCTGTCATCGTGTATATCTCACTTATCTGAAAAGCAAGGAAATGATGTTGTGCAACTAATTAATGACTTTCCTGCTTTACTGAATGATGTACCTTCTCGCACCACAGTATTAGAGCATGATATTAACGTGGGGGATGCTGTTCCGGTCAAGCAACATGCGTACCGCATGAACTCAGTGAAGAGAGAGCGTATGCGGGGAGAGGTTGAGTATTTGGTGGAGCATGGATTGGCTCAAGCCAGCTGCAGCCCCTGGAGCTCTCCATGCCTCCTGATACCGAAGAGTGACGGCACTGATCGGTTTTGTACGGACTATCGTAAGGTTAATGCGCTCACGGTACCGGATTGTTTTCCATTGCCGCGGATGGAGGACTGCATTGACAACATCGGCTCGGCCCGTTATGTCAGTAAATTGGATCTACTAAAAGGGTACTGGCAGGTGCCGCTTACGTCTCGCGCTTCTGACATCTCCGCTTTCGTGACACCGGATAGTTTCCTGCAATATTCTGTGATGGCGTTCGGCATGCGTAACGCACCGGCTACTTTCCAGCGACTCGTTAATCGTGTGTTGTCGGGGGTGCCTAAGTGTAACGCGTATCTGGATGATCTAGTAGTGTACTCGTCCGACTGGCCCGAACACATTGCTTTACTAAGAACGGTTTTCGAGCGATTACAAGAAGGTTCGTTGACCTTAAACTTGGCCAAATGTGAATTCGGTCAGGCTACAATCACGTACCTTGGAAAGGAGGTGGGTCACGGGCAAGTGCGGCCGATCGAAGCAAAAGTCACTGCGATATCTGAATTTCCTGCTCCCGCCACCCGTCGAGAACTTCGTCGTTTTCTAGGGATGGCTGGCTATTACCGCAGCTTCTGTAAAAACTTTTCGACGATTGCCCAGCCGTTGACGTCGCTCCTCAGTCCGTCGCGGACGTTTTTGTGGTCCACGGAATGTGAGCATGCGTTTAACGCGATCAAAGATCTTCTGTGTAACGCACCTGTTTTGGCCGCTCCAGATTTTGATTCTGCTTTTAAACTCGATGTGGACGCGAGTTACGTGGGTGCGGGAGCTGTGCTAATTCAGGGCGGTAAAGATGGTATTGACCATCCCGTCTGCTATTTCTCGCGCAAGTTTAATAAGCACCAGTTAAACTACTCGACGATCGAGAAGGAGGCATTAGCCTTGCTGATGGCCCTTCAGCATTTTGACGTGTATGTGGGATCGAGTATTAGTCCCGTTACCGTGTTTACTGATCACAATCCGTTAGTTTTCTTATCTCGTATGTATAATCAGAATCAGCGTTTGATGCGCTGGGCGCTGATTGTACAGGGATACAATTTGATAATCAAACATAAAAGAGGCGTAGAAAACGTGATCGCCGATGCCTTGTCTAGAGTTGCCTCTGGCGGCGTGTGAGTACGATCGTTTGAACAACTATATGCTGAGTAGTTTTTTTTACATATAGTTGGTTCTTAAGGGGGGAGGTGTTACGTTCCCCGTGCACTGCAGGAGTGTTGTTTATTGTTTGATTACACTTTGATTGGTTTCCTGTGAATTGCCCCTCCTCTAGGTCGCTGTGACTGGCGGATCGGTCGTCAGTGGGGCGGAGGACGAGGGCCAATCAGGAGACGGAGCCGCTGCTTAAGAGGGACGGCGGGCTCATTCTCTGAAACCCCTCTCAGTATTGCTGACGCTCAGGGCCGCCGATTGTGGGCTGCTCTCCGGCACCCAGATTGTTGTGCATTTCAGACTGTTTTGGATAAGTGTTTTCGTGTCATCAGCGGCATCAGCTGCAAAACCGCGCCGGGGGGAAGAACGGTAGGTTAGTATATCGCGATATACATCCTGCCCGTAGTTGTCCTGTGTATAGACACCCTAGGGTAGAGGTGAGCGCCACCCCCTGTATTTTTGTTATTAGATAGGAGGTGTAGGCGCCGAGTGCGCGAAGACTCCGTTTTTCTTTCGACCTTTTTCTTTGGATAGGGGTAGGTCGAGGTAGGGGTGTTTTGGTTATACTTGGTTCTCTCAGTTGGCGCCGCCTACGTTCTTTCCCCAATGTATTCAGGTAGGGGTGCTTATCCCCCTCTTTTCGACTGGGTCCGGGGAGAACAATAAAACCCCAGTTTTTTTTTCTTTTACAACGTGCCTGCCTTGTCTCCTTTCATTTACCTCTCCCCCGTGATACATCGACAAATTTTAGTGTTACGGCTGTCCCTAGACCGCCAGTGATCGTAACAGTGAGGCAGCAATATTACAAACGCGTCATGATTTTGTCTGTACATACCTTGGAATACATACTTAGGCGCACTATACGCAGCTCCTCCCGTCCAAACTTCCACTTTCCTGTCAGGGTGTGGGGAAGGCAGGACTCAAACGCAGACTTTCAAAAAACAAAAAGACTTAGATAAGAATAGTCAAAATACAAACGGGGCCAAGGGGCAAAAATGCAGACGGGAACCAGGAACATTCAACAATGACGCCACAAGTGACAAGAGATACACAGGGCTTAAATACACTAGGGAGGTGCAGGTGATTGGACACAGGTGGAAACAATCAGACAATCACAGGGGATGACAGGACAAGGCAGGAAGTGAAGTTACCCACGGAGACAAGAGGCTGAAAAGTACAAAATAAGACATGAAACAAACCCAAACCGTGACAGCACCTCCCCCCCCAAGCGCCGAATTCTAGACGGCCCTAAACCGGCAGAGTGCAGACCAGGGGCGGGAGGGAGGGAACCCAGAGACGGCCGGGGAGTCTCCAGGGATCAGCCCGAAGGGCGGTCAGGAATCTGGCTCCGGGGCGCCGACTGCAGGACACAGGAAGCCGGGGTCGCCGGCTGGAGAGCGCGAGAAGCCTCCGGGGTCGCCGGCTGGAGGACACTGGAAACCTCCGGAGATGTGGCTGGAGGACACTGGAAACCTCCGGAGTCGCTGGCTGGAGGACACGGGAAACCTCCAGAGTCGCTGGCTGGAGGACACGGGAAACCTCCAGAGTCGCTGGCTGGAGGACACGGGAAACCTCCAGAGTCGCTGGCTGGAGGACACGGGAAACCTCCAGAGTCGCCGGCTGGAGGACACGGGAAACCTCCAGAGTCGCCGGCTGGAGGACACGGGAAACCTCCAGAGTCGCCGGCTGGAGGACACGGGAAACCTCCAGAGTCGCCGGCTGGAGGACACGGGAAACCTCCAGAGTCGCCGGCTGGAGGACACGGGAAACCTCCGGAGTCGCCGGCTGGAGGCACACGGGAAACCTCCGGAGTCGCCGGCTGGAGGACACGGGAAACCTCCGGAGTCGCCGGCTGGAGGACACGGGAAACCTCCGGAGTCGCCGGCTGGAGGACACGGGAAACCTCGGGAGTCGCCGGCTGCGTGGCTCATGAAGCCTCCGGAGTCGCTGGCTGGAGGGCACAGGAAACCTCCGGAGTCGCCGGCTGGGGAACACAGGGAACCTCCGGAGTTACCGGCTCAGCCCCCGCCATAGCCCCCCCCTCAAGGGGCGGATCCCAGACAGCCCTCAAATTACCAAAGGGAGGGTGGGAGAGTCAGGGGAGCGAGTCTCGGGGCCGGAACTGGTCAAGTCGGGGGAGCGAGGCGAGGAACCGGATCAGAAGGTCGCTGCTTCCTCTTGCCAGGGCTCCTTCTTCTGGGGTTGAGGAGGTCCCAGAGCTCGAAACAAGCTCTTTGATAGCTCCTGGGACCAAATACAAAGTTTGTCTTACGCTGCCAGAACGGGCTCCTCACATCCATGTAGTCGAGTCCGTAATCTGGCAGCGGGTCTGCTGAGTCCATTTGTGGTCGCGTCATTCTGTCTGGCAGGGAAGGCAGGACTCAAACGTAGACTTTCAAAAAACAAAAAGACTTTAAATAGTCAAAATCCAAAAGGGACAGGGACACAAGAGGCAGAAAACTACAAAATAAGACATGAAACAAACCCAAACCGTGACACTTTCCCCCGGCTCTCCCGTGAATGCACATGCATGACACTGTCTTTTTTAGTTTCTGTGACAGGCAGTCTACGCTTTCACTCCACTGCAGCTTGTTTGTACATACTCTCTATGCTTTTACGCGCGGATTGTAAAACAAATACGCCTGGAGTGGGCGAAAAAGCGTTGTGGTATCTGTTATATTATGTTAGAAATGCGGTATTATGTTTATGATATTTGTAATTCGATATTACGTCATATGATATTTAGTAGTATCAGTCGTATTCAAAACATACGTTTTCATGAGATCAAAAGGAACAATACACTGCATTGAATCAGACTGCCGTTCATGAGTGCTACATGCAATCACTGACATGCTGTTCATATTATTGGAACATGTCGTGATTCAGAGTGATATGGCAACTCTGAAACAATACCACCGGGCATGCTGCATAACTAAAACAATTAAACTGAGAACCCATTTTCCAGTGGCGGCTTAATGAAATGAATACGTACACACGTTGTTCACATTTATTAGTCAAACTGGCTGCATTAGGTTAAACAAACATTGGCCAAATGACCAAAAAGATACATCACTTTATTTAATGCGTATTTATTTTATTATTTATTTATTTTATGCTGTGGTACTTTTAAGTCGCAGTGTTGTGCTAATTCTCAAAAAAACATTTACGTGATTTGCATGGATGAGGAGGGAGGGAGGGCTCTATGCCACTACATGCCGTACTGAGATCGGTTAATGCCGTTCTGAAAAAAGGGACCTGCCGTTCTGAGATTGCAATCTCGCCGTCACTCAAATATACATTGTTTCGTGGATTAAAGGAAGAGGAACCGGAGAGACTGACTTGCAAACTGGATACGAGAGGAGGAGAAAGAGGGTATACTGGGCTAGGCGGGAATCCAAGTCTCCCGGGTCAAAGCCTGATTCATCACCAGGACCAGATCTATCAGACTTCTATATCGATGAAGTTCCTGAGATGCAATTAAAGGCTCTAAAACGGCTACTAAGTGGACCTTTGAGGTCAGACTATTTAGTCGTATTAAGTTATAAAGTGTCAGAGCCCCTTTAAGGGCACATGCTGTATTAATTTGTGCCCAGAAAATTCCATGCGAGTTTTAAAAGCTTTCATTCATACAAAACACACTGCATCTGTCACCATATAGAGTGGTGAACATATATAGAATGCTATAATTTTAAACACGCAAAAATGTATCCACATTTATAAATGAGGCAAGCTATTCAAAATCCTATTGTGACAGGCATGACTGAAAGTATGTCCTCTCTGAGCATATATGATATACATATTTCAAATTACCACTTTTTGCACAAATAACATTGTTGCTAGTCACATCCAGGGCCTTGTAAATACAAATAACAAATATAATAATATGCATACAGTCCAACCCTTTATGTGTGTTTGTTGACCACAGGTCTGAAGGGTCCCACAGTTCGAAACAGTTCCAGAAAAGACTGAAATGTTCAGCTTCCATCATGGATGAGCATTAAACGTGCACTAGGACAGCGAGTGACATCCCCAATTTTTAATTAGGATTCCCACTGTGTTGGTTTGAGCTCAAATCGGACTCCATCTCCATAGCAACACCAGCTCTCGCTCCAGACAGACGATCCACAGAGCTGGGGGAGGCATTGTTGATTTGGCGACCACGGCAGCACGCCACCACGTCGGCAATGTCGGCCCGGAAAGACGGTGTGTAGAAACTATAGATGACTGGGTCACAACATGTGTTCAGGTTGCCAAAGACAAACAAAATGTGGTGCACGTACTCAGGTGTGTGCTGGATAATGGCTGGTTGGAACCAGTACCAGATCCCTAAGAGGTAGTAGGGAGTCCAACAGATGACAAAGGAGCTCACGATCACAATGGTCATCTTGAGGGTCCTAATCCGGGCTTTGGATATCATGTCAGTTCCACTGCGTCTCAGGCAGTGCTCACCATCTGAACACACAAAAACATGACTCAAATATGAGAGAAAAAAACCATACATGTCGTAAACATAAGCAGATAGGTAAGCACAACCTTATCAACTTCATGTGGAGATGGAAATTACCTTTGGTCGGGGTTTGGACGGATGCATTGCTGACTGCAATAGCAGCTTCAAAGTGTCTACTTACTTTTACGTGTTACAACACTATTCAAAATCAACAGAATAGGCCCCATCTCACATCCTAACAATCAACTAGAAATCCCTTTTTCTACCTGCGGTTATAAACTTATTGTATGACTATTGTAGTAAATCAGAAAAGAGGACAATCAATCAAATACTAATCACTAGTAAGAAAAAAAACATTGTGAGTTCATCAAGCAATATTAAGATAGTCAAAAACGAAGATAATAAAGCATTACCAAGACAGCCATCACAGAGATTTAAAATAAAAAGAAACTACACAGACACTACACTTTGAGTGCTAACTACACTTTGAGTACTTCAGTAGTTCAAGTTAAACATAAACTTATATGATCTATGCTGAGAGGCCACGATGCCAACTTTACTAGAATGACCTGTGATGATGTCATCCTTAATTGCATTGCATTGTTGTGTATGTATATGGCCTCAGATTGTGTTTCACAAAGTGTCACACACCTTTTCCCTTGTGCATTTGCCCATTGATCTTGGTGAGGATGCGGGTGTAGCAGAAGGTCATGACGAGTAGAGGGAAGACATATAGTGTCACAAAGTGAAACATATTGTACGCAGTCTTCTGCCAGGGATACTGGAAACTTCCATGGGTGACACACTGAGTGAAGTCTGCTCCGTCAGCTTTAATCGCTCGAAAGATGAACAGCTGAGGATTAGGAGAGTGGAAATAGATTAGGAAGGAATTGCCACAGAAAGAAATGCAATTCTATTTTCTTTACACAGAATGTGTCTTGTATTTGTATATATTAAACCAATTGTCCAACGATCCACGCAAACCAGGAGCTTATTTGACCCCATGTTGGGCTAGTTCAGTGATTCCCAAAGTGTGGTGCGGGCATCTAAGGGGTGCACGAGAGGAAACATGTAATGGTGGTCTAATGGAGTAATAATTCATGTTAAATATAATTAGTAAAAAACCAATAGGATTTTTACACAAAATAGGGACATGAATTATAAAACTACCTTTTGCGAAATTAAAATGTTAAATGTACAATTTAATTAATAAATAGGCTACACATCAACTCCTCCTTTTACGTACACACTAGCTAACGTTACCCTAGTTTGTGCAGCTAACGTCAGCTAACAGCCAACTTTTGGCTTGGCTGAAATCAGGAAACTGTCAGGTGGACATCTGAAGCTATCAGTCGCGAGAGAGGACAGGGACAGGGAGAGAGGCAGGAATCCGAGGCAATAGAAACGGAGAGTTGATACTCACGTCTCTTACTCGCTAACGGTACCCGTTGGTGTTTGCAGCCTGAGCCCCTGCGTGTGAAATCCTCAGATGGACTCTTCCCTTTTTATTCATATCTGTTTCTAAGACTATGAATGTGCCGCTGTGTTCTTTACATTACACGTCTTTACATTGTTTACTGTGTTTAAGTCATTTCAAATTCCCCTACCTCTAATGATCAGTCGTGATGTGTAACTTTACATTTTTAATTTTAAATAATTTAGCCGCTATGTGTGGTTAATTGTAAATGGAATATGATGCAATCTGTCTCTGAGCCTGTGCGAGTATCCTCGTCCTTCTTAATGCTTCTTTAAAGTGACGTAACTGGAGTTTATTGAAACTTTGTTGTAGTGTTTCAGGGTGTTGATGTGAGTTTTTTTGTTTTTTTCCTGATTCAGAATTAATATGATACAATGTTACAGTTGCCCCTTTGTTCTGTCTGTGTTCACACTGCAACATTTAACAGCGGACTAAATATTGTAAACAAACATCACACGTGAGCAAGTTCTGTCATTGGTCCAATTGTAATGCAGCTGAAAATAGACTATTTCTTTTTAAGTGTGGGGGATTGGGGGTGCATGAACCCAGTTGGGATGTAGAAGGGGGTGCGTGGCCTAAAAAGTTTGCGAACCGCTGGTTCACAGCAATCTGCTAGTTAATAGGACCGTGTCAGCTGGACGGAGTCCCGCGGGGTTGGTTACTAACTCTGGTGGTCGTATACATTAACAATGGATTGAAAATACTGTGCATTAAGTAAATGGTAAATGGCCTGTACTTGTATAGCGCTTTTCTAGTCTTCTGACCACTCAAAGCGCTTTAACACTACATGACATCATTCACCCATTCACACCCATTCACACACTGATGACAGGAGAACCACACACAGTGACACCTGCACATTAGTCACTAACATTCACACACTGTAGTCGCAGCTACAGGAGCTTGCCCAAGGACACATCGGCATGCGGGTCAGCCGGGCCTGGGATCGAACCGACAACCCTCTGATTGAAGGGCGACTGTAGGTGAGTGGGGAGCACAGTCGTCCTAGGTGCCAGTGCTTTGAGTGAATATTGAGATAATGACAGCGATGTCAAAGAGGGCCACTTAAAATCCCCATCCTGACGTAGCCTGCCCTCATACTCTGTAAGGATCAGCTTGTCACCACTCAATCTGTCAGCTGTAGCTCAAGGAGGACAATCTGTCGAGATGAAAGCACAACGCCTCACTACAAATGTGCTTCTTTGTCACTTGACAGACCCCCGGATAATGATACGGTAAAAATGTGGAATTGTTCCAACACATCCATTAGTGGGCCATAGGCTCAATCACTGCTGTCACTTTAGGCAACCAATATTGACTAAAAAGATGTTGTTTAATGCGGGTATTTAAATGACCCTCACGTTGGCATCTAATTATTGCACTGCAACTAATGATGCTCTATTTTTTCTCAGGCTTCAAATACACCCAGTTTAAGATTGAATCATCCAAAAGTGTTCCTGTAGGAGTGTGTCGTTCATGCACAGTGCTACTTTTATGAACGTTGGTTGCATCAAACTACTGCGTAAGGGCTGATGGTCAGGGTAGTTAAAGACATCTGCATTCACCCACACCCTGGGGAGATCAGGTGTGGGAAGACAAACGTATTATTAGCTAACATTTAAACATGGTTAACAAGGTGTGTCCAGTCCGAGTGGCACTGTTTGATAGTCATTACCTCATTGATAATCCTACCAGTGTTACTCATATGTGTGGACACTCAGCACTGCCCTCGTGTGTAACCTAGAACCTACTGTACCTGTGGAGATGCCAGCAGCAGGCTCAGGGTCCAGGCCACCAGCAGCATGCGTCTGTTCCTGAGCCCAGCATCGAGAGAATCCAGAGGATGGAGGATGGCCCGATAGCGGTCCAGACTTACTACCACAAGTATAAAAGCAGCTGAGTGCATGGCAAATAGCTTGAGGAAACACAGTAGCTTACACATGAAATCCCCAGCATACCACTGCACTGTAATGTTCCATACGGCATCTAGCGGCATCACCAAAAAGGTCATCATGAGATCAGCTGAGGCCAAACTGGCGATGAGCGGGCGTAGGTGTGCTGCCAGGCGATAACCCCGCCCCCAGCATACACTGATCAGGACCGACAGGTTACTGCCAGCAGCAAAGACAAACAGCACAAGGGTAGCTGCTACACGGCAGCGGGCGGCCACTGTAAAGGACGGAGCCTGCCAGGGTCCAAGGGAGGGTGGAGCAGACGTGTTCAGCAGGGAGAAGCCAGGTGTGGATACCCACAGAGACAAGTTGCCTGTCATCCTGAGGGAGAAAACCTGGGTGACAAATGGTTTTTACCAGTGAGACACAGCAACAGAGCACTGGCAGACAGCTTTATTGTATATGTGTTTGGTGGATTCTATCTAAATAAATGAGAAACCACAAGAAAAGAACACCTGGACAATACCTGTCGTACTGCGTGAAAGGGAACAAAACTAGGTGCAGTGGCCCATCGACATTTAAAGATCTGTAGGACAAATTGCCACTACAGACTGTACTGTGTATAAAAAGTGGACGTAGTCATAAAGATTCCATACAACCAGACCTATTTCCACCTAGATCCTCCCTGCTAGAAAGAATTCAAGTTAAAGTAATTTCCTCATTGACTCACTTTTCAGAGCTTGAGGTTGCCATCTGTTTGTTCTTTAATTTCAACAGCTTGTAGCTTCACTTTCTACAGGGGATTCAGGTCAAAATAGCCACAAGTCTTAGGTTTTGATATTAAAGTTGTTTTGCAAATACTCTATAACTACATAACATATTAAAATTGGTAACTAATCATACTAATACTTATTTTTCTTCTTGGCATTGTTAAGGGCTTTAGCTGCAGTGACATCATTGAAGTTTTTGAAATAATCTCTCATTAAGAAATAATTCAGTAGCGTCTGTTTCAGTGAATGTGGATGCATTATTCCATTGCCGTAAGGATTTAGTAAACTGAAAAAATAGCACACATGTTTCTCACAGATGTGTACGTGCAAATAGCCAGTACACAAGCCCTGATGAGGAGCCATAGAGAGTCATTAGCAGTTTTACATTCTTCACAAAGACTGTTTTCATGACAAAACTTTGTTGGCAAGCGTGTTCCATGCCTCTCTACGTCTTGTACACCAAGTGTACTCAACCTAGTTGCCAGTTGAGGTCTTTCATCTAATTGGTGTACTTCTGACGTCAGGAGAAAGTGTGTTTTGATACTTATCTAAGCCATAGAAGCCTATGACTGCTTCAGAAAACTCAATTGTACTAGAATGCCTCTATTTCTAACCTCATTAGGATGGTGGTGAGGTGGCGCCCTCTGGTGGTGGATCACTGCAGCTCTTCATGTGTTGCTGCACCAAACAGCGCAATGTTCTTTACCGTCCAGGTAACGTATGTAACCCGACACAATGGACATGATGACGACCCCAAACAGAAGTCCTGTCTTGTGTTTAGTAGAACGGTCTAAGTGGCCTTCTTCTCTCTCTGACACTTCGTTTCCATTCTGTCAGCCCCCCTATATGTTCGATTGCATTATGGGGGAGACGCGCCCTCACCCCACCGGCCTGCACACACTGGTACTGACTTAAACACACTACAGCATATGGTAATGCACAGCTTAGTGCTGTGAAGTGTTCTCACCTGGAGAGGAGCGCGGTCCGCCGGTGCTGGTCGATGGGGAGAGGCGCGGAGCGGAGCTCTCCAGCGTGCTGATGCGTCGCTTCGCCCCGCAGCTCTTTGTCCTCCGCGGCTTCCACTTTCTGATACATCAACGACCCCACCGCTCCATCAGCCAGCCAGCCCTGCACACACACACACACACACACACGCACACGCACTGCCTTGTGCAGTGGACGCCCGCGTGACGTGCGGGGCGTCGCAGTGGTGGACACCTTAGTGACGGAGAGACATGGGTTCCAATTCCGTGGCTACCTCTTGATTTGCATGTTAGGAGAGAGATGTCTCAGTAGGGTTGTCAAGGTGCCTGCGTCCTTTCATTGTCCTTTACAGAATTGATCGGTGTTGCGGTTTGACTTACTGTCAATACTGTATTATGGATCCCTCTGGGTCTAAGATAAATAAAAATAACGTAATAACTTATCTTTGTGAAAGAGAAATCCTTTCACAGAAGCGATTCCTGAAGTCATAACTGTTTCCTGGTCTATATTGGACCTATCTTACCTAAACTTGAGAAATGGTATATAGCAGCGATTCCGTGGGCCGCGAAGGTACTGCAGGTGGGCAGCGAGAGGTCATTTACAATAAATAAATAAAATGTTTTTAATTTTCAATTTTGAAAAGTTTGAAATTAATATGAAAATATTTATGATGCGGCACATTAGTTATGTGAAACGTTAATTGATGAAGCACAAACAATTTAAACCAACAGATTAATAAAACAATAAGGCTCTCGCTCGAAACGGCTGCCGTTATTCAACAAAAGGCGCCGCCAAACAAACCAATGTCACATGGGGCGCCCTCTTGTAGTATTAAAGTCAATATACCGCATTTTCCGCACTCCAAGGCGCACTTAAAAGGCTTTAATTTCCTCAAACGACAGTGCCTTATAATCCGGAGCGCCTTATATATATGGATCAATTGGTTAATCGGTTGATCCATACTGGTTGTACACGGCGCTCAAGGCGCTCTGCCAAACACGCCAAAGCTCGTCTACGACGGCGAGATGCTGAGCGGCGCTCAGGCGCGTGAGATATGGAGCTGCTTTCAGGGCGCGTCGGAGAAACAAAGCTGATGAGATAATGAGATTAAAGAGCGAGAGACGGTGCCATTTTCTTTACAGTAGCTGAACCATCTTAACGGGGAACATAAGTTATTCTAAAAGGAGCCCTTGGCGGGCGACGTGGCTGGAGAGCAGCCGAAGATTTAAGGCGTGGATGGCGAGGGGGGCAGCGGGAGCGGACGCACCTCGCAGCATCGATCGGACCCCGAAAGCACCGTCTCCACCTCCCCACATCCCCCCCGACGTCAAAGTCTAAAATAACTGTGTCCCCCTGTCGATCGTCCGCGTCCCCCCATCGGCCGGGCCACCAGCGGCACCTCCCCTATGATTTTTAATGGTCTGGCCCACGGTCCACTTGAGATCAAACTGGGCTGTATCTGGCCCAAACCTAACCTAAACCGAAGATTTTTTACGAGAGAATCAATCAGATTGAAGAGTTTTTTGTCGGTAATCAGTAAATATGAGCACTTCTACAAGCCGTCATTGGCGGACTATAAGGACGCCGGATGGCCTCTGATTCACGGAGGGAGATCTCCACAAACGTCGGTTTGCCGGTCGAGGGGAACAAAGTTGTGGAGGAAAACACGGGACAAATGTGAACCAGGAAGTGAAACGAGTGCATCGACACAACGGTGCGCAAATACGCAGACGCAGAAGCATGCGCCAGCCTTCATGCATTGCATGGTGTGGAGAATCACTTGTGCATGGCCCGCCTTCAGCTTCTTCAGGTCTTCATCTGGTGCAAGAATTGCAATACTACATTACTTCTACAGGCATTGAGCATAAACACAGTCTACAGTATTCTACATAAACAAATTGGTTATTTTTTATCTTTGAGTGGCATTTTGGGAGAAATGGCCCATATAGTGACATGTAAGTTTAATGAAATTAGTTTTACAAATACTTACATACAGATGTTTTCCCCTTAAGCTTTGTTCTGCTTTACTTTATTAGCAATGGTTTGAGAACAGGTAATGCTCACATATTTTATCAATACAACAATCAATATAAACATTTATTCCAAAGGTGTTCAGCTCAAAAAGGTGAAACTTAAATATTTAATTTATCCTCCGTTCAATAATTCCCATTCCCAAACTACAAATAAGGGTCACCTTGAGAAGTGTTCCCCCCGTTTGATGTCATTGTATATTCTTTTTTACTTCATTGTATTTTTGAAAATTAATTACATAGGGGTCCCAGGAAAAGCAGGGCTCTTACTGAGTGGATTATCCTGCTCAATCAAAAGGGAAAAAAATAATGTATAAGTGCTCCCAACATGGGTTATAGGAGTACCATAGATGTTATATAATATGATTAAAAATATCCATAAGATAAAATTACCAATACAATCGAATACAGGATAAAACAGAAACACAATGAATCCTGTTTTACTGTAAGCAAAGTTCACCACTAGAGGGAACAGTCTCCAATATGAACAGCTGCTACCATCAATATCTAACTTCATTCATTGTCTCCGGCCTGAAACCAGCGTTGTTACATTCTTTTTATTACAGAGCTTGACTGCGTCTCTTGATCGATTTGGTCTGACTGCGGGACACTGGAATGTAAGAACACTGCTCAATTCCGAAAAGAAGCTCCGAGGATCCTCATGTAAACCACGTCTTCATCCACAGACACGTCGGACTGAGTGTCAGTTCCTACTCACACGGAGCAAAGGATGCTGTCCTACGGCGTAAAGGTGATTAATACGATCAGTGCCGACACGCTTAGTATGTCATGTTGTCTCTCCTCAGGTACACAACAGCCAACCCCATGTGCATCTGCGCCATTTACACAGACAGCCCGTGTCTTTAAATGAGATCATTGACAATAGAGTCACGGCAGTGAGACGTCAAGCTGGTCACGTGGTTCCCTGTTCTAGCCGACAGACCTGGACGGGATTGTGATTTGTGTGCAAATGTGTTCAGCGATCGTGTTGCGACCCGCGGCACGGAGGCGGGCTGAAGACCCTTTGTGGGGACATCTGTTGATACAGATACGCTGTGTGCTTCCGTTTGGATTTGACTAATGACGTTTCTCAGCTGACATCCGCACTGCTGTCAACGATCGGTTTTCTCTCGGTAACGTCTTTTTCGTGCGAATGTGCGCGTGCATAGGAACACCGGTATTTTGAATTGTAGAAACCAGCCTTCTCGCGAGCGGTGACTCCAAACAAGGTAACAAGTACTCGTGTTAAAAGCTTAAAAATAGCGAGTTACGTTAGTGAATGGAGACGAACACATTGTTTTCTAACATGGTTTTCTGTCCAGACCCAGACAACAACATTACTACCAACCAATCACATGTCCCTCTGTCTTCACCGCGGAAACAAGTGACCAATCCTAGGCCTTAGTGCTCCAGCGAAGCGAGTCGGAGGACCAATCAGCGGTCTGTCTGGGCCTGCTGGGGAAACAAACAGCCAATCAGCGGTCTGTCTAGCCGTCACGGAGCGTGTGTCTGACCAACGAGCGGTACGTCTGGCTGCACCGGGGGGGTGAGCGCGTGCCGAGGCCCAATCAGCAGCTCAGTGCTGCCTACCGGTGCCGGGGACTGGTGGTGAATAGCCGCTGAAGAACCGGACCGTGAACCCGGAGACGGTACACACTGAGGCGGGAAGGAGACCCAGGTGAGTCCGAGGATGTGAGCGAGGCCTGGCTCCGGCGGGAGGTGTTTTGAAATGGCAGCGGCGGGATTCACGTCGCGGCCGGGCGTCCAGTTGTTGTGTCGTTTCCCCGCCGGTGGAAACGCCGACAGACAATAGAGCGGCTTCGCGTCGCTATTTATTGATGCGGGCTGACATGTTGGCGAGCAGTAGCCGTCGCCTCGAAATGCTCATTCGCATTTTAATTTCAGAAACATAGTTGCGTGTGTAAATCATCGCCGACTGCTTGTGTTTTGACGAAAAGCGAAGTGCTGGAGGTATCCCGGTGGCATTGTGATGGAAACCTTGAGCGGAATGCCTCCAATCCGTTTCATTGTTTGATTCGGAGTCTCTGGGGGTTTTCGCCGAGCGAAGAAAGAGCCACATACTCCAGTTCACGCTGTTCTAACGAGCCCCGGGGACACGCGACGTGTTTCAAACCGTTTTATCGAAGCTAAAAGTAGGAAGTGGGCGATCGGGACGCGCGTGCAGGAGGCCGGGGTCGCTGATGGCTCCGCAATTAGGTAGGAAAATTCTAAATGCATCAGCCATTTACTCAACGGGCTCCATATGCACCTAAATGGCTGCCTGGCAGCGGCCGGCTGTCTCGGGCCGAGGCTTCGCTGCGGATTCACGGCGGTGGATGTGTGTGTAGATGGCGATACAGACCCACCAGCGATCAATATTTAATGTGTGCTGCTTATTATTCTGCAGTATTCCGGATCTATCGGCTGTGTTTGCCACAATCGGTCTCTCCTCCGGGTGTCCATGAGTCACACGCAGATGGAGACACATAGGACTGCTGTCTTTGGCACTGCATTTTCGGCTCAAGTGATGTTATTGTTACCTCCCTCCACTACAAAATGTTCCAAGGAATGTGCTTAATGTGGGTCAGTTGAGTCCCAGGTAGCACCTAGAATACTTGTTGTCCACGTTCCACCAGCTGGTTGTTTCTATGGAGGTGAGCATCTTTCCACAGCCGAGCACAGAGGCTCTCAATCAGTGTGGATGTGAAGCAGCCCCACAGCCTTAGGTTGTGTCGAACAGTTGGCAGACCTTGATACACTCAGCCCTCCACTCCCATTGTGGAAGTGGGTCTGTGTGAATGAAAGGTCCCTGCTGCTGGAGAGTGTGAATGAACTGGAGTATTCTCAATGATGGAGTCCTTCCTCATCCTATTTCCAGTAGCGTGCAGATTTTCATTTTATAACCGACTTGTGCCGCCGCTCAGGCAGAGTGTGCTGGTGCTTCTCATGAATATGCAGTGAAACAATGGCGATTTGGATGCCTGTGGACCAGGACACCACAATGTCTTGTGGGGTCTGTGGTACGTAGAGCTACCACATCCCAGGTATTGATAATTGGGACTGTGATAAATGAGCGGATAACCCCCCCCAATAAAATGGAATGGGAAACACTGCAACATTAACAAACATTTCTGACCAGGAACCCTTAAATCTTTTTATTTCTATGACTGCTTAAAGATGTGGAACGTTTGTCCGTCGAAGTGTATTAGTGGTGGACTAAACTGGTAGACACCGATTCCCCCTCACAAATTGTAGTCTATACTAGAACACACATGTGGACTATGTTTTCGATGACCTTGCTATTTGGTACATGATAATTGGACTGTACTTGTATTAAGGCTGCACAATGATGGCCAGAATCACGATTTATTATCAATGTTTCCACTTCCAATCTTGTGCTACATCCTGGCTGAAGCACACACCTTTGCATCAGACTGGTCCTCCTCACAGGGCATCTCCTAGAAGGAAAATATAAAAGAAATAGTATCAACACTTTTTACTCAAAGTTCAATCAACACAAAGCACCGCTTTCACTTCCATGTTGGGTTGCATTCCAGCTAATGTAAACGTGTTTTGAGTG